CACTAAACCCTCCGTATAGCAAGTTGAGGATTGAATTTTTCTTCAGTTCTTTCAATTTGAGAAATGCCCATTTGTTCTGCTCTTTTGGTTTTCTAACCCAGTAGGCTAGATAGTAGGAGCTCTGGTAGCAGAGTGGTTATGAAGTAGGCTACGAACCTCAAGGCCAGCAGTTCGAAACTACCAAGCCATTCCACAGTAGAAAGATGAGGCTTCCTGCTCCCATAAAGAATTATAGCTTCAGAGATCCTATGCAGGGTTGCTATGAGTCAGAATCAACTCCCTGGCACACGTCACCACCAGTCAACTAGATACATCTCGGTGTAAAAATGCCATGGGTACATCACAAGGAAAAATGAGTCAAGATCAACTTCGTAAGACTGATTACTATGAGTGGAGGTCAGCTGTGCCTACAGCCTCCAAGTTTTTTTTTTTTTTTTTACCAATTCTGACTCCAACCATCCCTCCAACAGCAGCAGACTTTACGTCTTTATTGTGTTTGATTATGGGTTGCAGTGGCCATATAGAACTCTTCGAGTGTTCTCATGATTATGGGATTTTTTCGGGGAGTAACAGGTTACAATTCACTATGAAAATTCAGAATAGTAATTCTTTAGGATAACTATTCCCAGGTATACCCACAGGCACACTTTTTTCTTGACCTTTAGCCTCTTGGTCCCATGGCCCCTCAGCCTCTACCCTGCTTGGGCAAATGTCACAAAGCTCTTTAGCTGTGCCAATAAGTGGCCAGGGCCACCAATTCTACCACCTAGCCTTTTTCCCGAAGGCGCTCAGCTCTCTCATTCTGTACATCGTGAAGTCCATCGCCAACTCCTGCCAATCTCTTGCTTCTGCTACCTTTGCTACTGCCTTTTCTCTGCTGCTGCTTCTCACTGTCTCTTGTTGTCTCTGGTGTCACAGTTCTCTGTCTGATGAGTCTAGGAAGTTCCCAGTGAGGGACCCTGGGCCCAAAGGCAGTGCTACACTCCCATCTTTTCATTCTTGGTGGTAGTGTGGTCTCCCCTTTCCATCTCTGTAATGACTTATTTTAAGCTTGTCATTATTGATAAGTTCATTGAATTGGCTCCAACTTATTGCGAGCCCACATAGGGTTTCCAAGGTATAAATGGTGGATTTGAACTTCTCACCTTGTGGTTAGCAGTCTAGTGCTTATTAGTGGATAGCAAAATTGATCAGTTCCCTCATTAGGGTTCAAGATACCTTATATAAATGTTTCCATCCCCACAAGGATGCCATGCACCGCCCAACCCCTTGGGTGGGTTGTACCTCATTTTCACAATCCCACCCAGTAAGTATTCTCTGGGCAAATTATTGAATGACGCAGAAAGCATCAAATGAAGATAGAAGGAATACACAGAGTCACTGTACCAAGAGGAAATGGTTGATGTTCAACCATTTCAAGAGATAGTATGTGACCAAGAGCCAATGACACTGAAGGAAGAGGTCAAGGTGCTTTGAAGGAATTGGCAAAGAACAAGGCA